TGAGGAGAGGCTGAGGGAGCTGGGCCTGTTCAGCCTGGAGAAGAGAAGGCTGAGAGGGGATCTAATCAGTGTCTATAAGTACCTCAAGGGAGGCAGTGAGGAGGATGGTGCTGGCCTTTTTTCACTGGTGGCCACTGACAGGACTAGAGGAAACGGCCGGAAACTGAAGCATCAAAAGTTCCACAGGAGCTTAAGGGAAATTTTTTTAACAGTGAGGGTGACAGAGCACTGGAACAGGCTGCCCAGAGAGGTCTCCTTTCTCTGGAGATCTTCCAAACCCGCTTGGACGCAGTCCTGTGCCACATACTCTAGGTGACCCTGTGTGTGCAGGGGGGTTGGACTAGATGATCTCTAGAGGTCCCTTCCAAGCTTAACGATTCTGTGGCTCTGCGATTCTATACTGTATACAGCCCTCAGTAACTATCAATCCTGAGTCTGTGTTCAAACTAGACAGATGTGACTAGACAGATTAGTACTCAGCAGATTTGGCTTTTTGACTTTTTTTTTCTTCACCCATCAGTATATATGGAACACAAGTATCTAACAATACCTCGCATCTGTAATCTGTAAAACTTACCTTATCACCACAATTCTTTAGTCAGAGTTGTCAACAAATACTTGAAATTATATTCTTAAAAAGCACAACTAATAAGTAATGATTTCACACAAGTGACGCACAAATGTTGTAACTCATTACTTTAAAAATATGGAATGCTCTTCCTGAAATTAAACTATTATGAGACTATCCGGGGAATAAGATTCTGAAACTGAATTTTAAAAGTGCAAGTTATTTCTAAAGCTGTTGGCTGTTATTTCTAAAGCAAGTTATTTCTAAAGTGTATATATTAAAAAAAACCCATAACTGCAGATATTGAAGGTTCATTGTTCCCTGGGTGACAGTGGCTTTTATCTTATATCTTATCTATTTATTTCAATATCAGGAATCCCTTATTCTTTTATCAGTGGGATGGAGGAATGAAGGAAGGCACACAAGATTTTAATCAAATTCCGTAAGAGCCTAAAAATGAATAAGTTGAAATTAAACTAAATTCTTCACCATTTTCACTTGGAGGTCTTTTTTTTTCCCCTTACATAAGGAAACAAAGCCAAATCAATGGCTGCCAGCACTGTAATGTATCAGCTGTAATGACTGCTGGTGAAATACAGTTTAAAAAGAAAATCTTCTGATTACATGAATTATATCAAGAATATATGAGACACACACACTCCATGAGATGTACTTTGAACACTGGCAAAAATTCTGATTTACGTACTAAGATAACTACATACAACTAGCAGTATTTTTCTGCCCAGAAAAAGCCCAGAATTGGGGTTTTTCTTTTTTTTTTTTTTTTTTTTCCCCTCTCCTGCTTAAAGTTTAAGCAGATTACAGCACTCGTAGGTACTTGGAGGTCTAAAATGCAATTTTTTTGGTTGCCCCAAAGCCTAAAGCATAGAAGTCATATCAATAACTCAAAGACGTTTGTGTGTGTGTGTGTGTGTCTATGTCTGTGTGCTTGGAAATACTAACAACGCAGCCTAACAGCGATCATGCCAGGGTCAACTATTTCGCTAAACTTTTATTCTAGTAAAATAAATGTCAACACAGAACTTTTTGGGAGAGTATTTACAAACCATACTGTAACTTCATTCTTTGTGGTCCATCCACTGTAACTGCACAGAGCTATTTAAAGCGTAACAGTCTGTGTTCCAGCCTCGAGAATCATGATGGCATTTGATTATCCCTTTCTCCCTAAGCAAAGGGATAGAAAATATCTTCAAGACTACAACAGGTAGATTATATGACAGCAACTCTTTCATTACCGAGTTTGCTTTATCTGACCACTTCCATTGCTCCACTGCTAGGGCAATAATGCAGAAGCCTACTTGGAGAGTTGAAAACTTGGCTATACTCTGTTCCAAGAGGCACAGAGCATTAGCAACCTCCTGCAGTCAAGGCAAGCAACAAAATTTTAATCAGCTGTCATTTTGAATTTCTCTATTTCTTCTTAATTAAACAGGAAATAATACAATCTTTCTGATGAGACACACATTGAAAAAAAAAAACTTTCTTTAAAAGAAAACAGCAATCTGATAGCTGCCAACATATGAAGTTCAGTAACTGGAGGCAATACTTTTTAAATCTAGTTGGAAAAGTGTCATATGAA